GTGGTCCAGAGTCACCTGCTCTCGCTCAGAGCGACGCACGTACCGGCGCCATCTGAACGACGGTCCAGACATGCTGTCCAGGAACCTGGTCTCCCCCGGAGAATGGTCCCTGCACACTCAAACAGTCCAAACACTGTGGCGCCTATTCGGCAGAGCGGAGATAGATCTTTTCGCGTCAGAAAGAGAACGCTCACTGCCCAATATTCTTTTCAAGGAGCGAGGACGCGCTAGCCCAGGATTGGCCGCCGCGCCCCGCTCTATGCTTTTCCCCCGATTTCCCTGCTTCCGCAGGTCATTCAGAGAATCAGGGACTCACGCCACTCGGTGCTCCTCATAGCCCCGCGCTGGGAGAATCAGATTTGGTTCCCGGAGCTAACGCGGCTGTCACAGAACAGCCCCGTGGCCCATTCCAATCAGAGCAGATCTCCTCACTCAAGCCCGCGGCTCGATCTGGCATCCCCATCCACAGCGCTGGGCGCTTCATGCATGGGTGACCAATGACTACGCGTCGAGTTGCCAGAAGGGGTTATGAACACGATCAAACACGCCAGAGCGGATTCTACCAGAAAGCTCTACGCTGCAAAATGGTCTGTGTTCTCCAAATGGTGCACCGACAAAAATTTGGACCACGGACGTGTGAGGTGTCGTCTTTGCTAGTGTTCCTTCAGGAGATGCTGGATAAGGGCAGGTCCCCATCCACTCTTAAGGTTTTACGTGGCAGCCGTCGCGGCGTTCATTGAACCCCGGCGCGCCAGTCTCTGGGCAAAGACGAGCTAGTCATCCGCTTCCTCAGGGGAGCCAGAAGGATGAACCCCCCTCGCCCCCTACGGTGCCGGTCTGGGATCTTTCTATAGTTCTGGAAGCTCTGAAAGCCCCACGTTTGAACCACTTGAGTCCGTGGAGCTTAAATACCTCTCGTTAAAAACCGTTCTTCTGACGGCACTCGCCTCAGTAAAACGTGTGGGGGACATTCACGCGCTGTCTTCGAGCGCCGCGTGCCTAGAGTTTGGACCGAATGATTCCATAGTCATTCTAAAACCTAGACACGGTTATGTTCCAAAAGCGATTGGTACCCCCTTTCAGGGCGCAAGTGATCTCTCTATCGGCGCTGCCTGCATCCGATAGTGAACGTGACGCTGACCGCCTCTGCCCGGTTCGGGCTCTCAGAGTGTACACTACACGCGTTGCCGCGTTCAGACGCTCGGAGCAGCTGTTTGTGTCGTTCGGTGGCCGCGCCAAGGGACTAGCCGCCTCGAAACAGACCCTATCCAGGTGGATAGTAGACGCGATTGCCTCTGCTTATGCCGCTAAAGACCTGCCTTGCCCTCTGGGCATCAGGGCTCATTCCACCAGAGGCATGGCCTCATCGTGGGCATGGTCCTGCGGGATTTCCATTCACGACATTTGTGTGGCTGCGGGATGGGCCTCCCCCTCCACTTTTGTCAGATTTTATAACTTGGAAGTTCCAGCCTTACAGGCTAAAATTCTGGCGGTCTAGTACTCATAGCTCTCCTATAGAAGCCGCACTATCGGGAGTTCCATCACAACCGGCTCACCCCTTGTGTTCCCCTATGTGCTTATGCATTAGCCTACACATCACGGCCCGCTTCGCCGGCCGCCTCTGGGCGTTTTGCACTAGATGATAACGGCCGCTATGCTGGCCGCCTTATTATCTTCATCCACTAAAGATTCCCCCCGGTGTTCCCCCTGGGATGCTTAGTGGTTACTTAGCGCGCACGGCGTCGACCAGGTGTTCCCGTAGCGTAAGCTAGCTTACGCAATACGAGAGAACCTCTCGTAAGAGAACGAATCGGTTACCTAACGTAACCTCGGTTCTCTCTAGATGAGGGAACGAGTATTGCGTTCCCGGCCGTGCTTGCGCCACTAGCGTTTCGCTTCATGCTACAGAATCAACGAACGAGCCTGGGAGAGCGACCTTTATACACTGTAGCCACGCCCCTTTTGGCGGGCTGTGACGCAGTGAGCGAGCGCCGTCCGCTCATTGGCCGCGGACTCAGCGCCGCTCTCCCATAGGTTCGTGCATTCTCTCTGAGCGAACCAATGAGCCGCTAGCTAGCCCGCTCATGGTCTGCCTCAGAAGAGACTGCGTTGACAATGATTACAAAATTATGGAATAATTTTTTGGCTTCAACTTCTCAGCAAAGATGAATCTTTCCCGTAGCGTAAGCTAGCTTACGCAATACTCGTTCCCTCATCTAGGGAGAACCGAGGTTACGTTAGGTAACCGATTCGTTTTGTTTTATTAATAAAGTATATACTTTTTTCTTGATTTACCCTGAAAGAAATGTTGAAATGTGACAACATGCCCCATAGGTGTAAATAGCCTATTGCTTATTCATTTTGATCTTTTTAATGTAAAAACCAAGCGAACGTCATAAGTTGACCTCAGACAACAATATAAAAAAAAATTAAAAAGCCAGTTCATGACCCCTTTAAAGTATTAGAAAGTGGACTGCACCCCATCAAAGATCATTCCAAACCGAATGGCTTGTTTGGAGAAGTCGGACACGACCATGTCACCCCCGCTGTGAAGCTATGGAAAAAAAAAAACACAGATTAACCATGAAGTTAATTAATTACTTTTCACTTGCTCACTC